TCAGCTGTGTAGCTATAACCCCCCTGTGCCTTTTTTCCTTATCGGTAGGACCAGGATAACACTCAGATCCATAGGCAAACTTGTGGGCATGGGCTGTTGTGAATATTTTCTCCAAGTAGATGCCTCCCCATCTGAATTTTAGGTTGAACTTGGGGATTTGAGGAAACCTTAAGTTCAAAGCAGACTCAGTTATTCAGGATTCTTGGAAGAGGGCAGCTTTGGAATGGCCTGACTGAAGTGCAGTGTTAAATATGGGTCACTTTGTGAGGTGCTGGCCAATAGAGATATGCATCCTTGCTGTCTACTCAGTCATTTTTCCTTGTGTGGGCTCTGTTCTGCTCCCAGCTTGTGGGAGCTCCCCTGGGCTTTTGAAGTCAGAAGATCCCATACATCTAATGCAGGGAAGAGACCAGATCTGAGGAGTCTAGGACTTGTCCATGAATGTTGTCATTTGCACCTCCCCAGCCAGTGCCTATCACTCCAGGACATCACAGCCCTCTCTGATCACTAACTCAACTATCCCAATTATCCTGCTCTGGGTTGCAAATACAAACCATTAGAGTTTGTGTGTCACTGCACCAAAAGGCCTTTCATTTAATAATCACTATATCAGCAGATCATGAGCCCTGAGACTGGTCTGGTTTCAGGTGTGCTTCATAATACCAATAATACACATCTGGGGCTCCTTTCCTCAGAAGCTGCTTTGCAAACAGTCTCTGATCCATGAGATTCAGTTACAAGTTCCTCACAATTTGGAAGGAGTCTGACCTCAGCGTGGTACTCACCTTGGCTGGGCTGGAGTGATCTTACACATGGCAGTTTTGTTTTTTAAGGACATTTTTTCGTGTCCCAAGTCAAGTCAGCGAAATCAATTCCAAATCCGTGTGAGTCATTCAAGAACTATATGTGGTCCTGCTGCCAGCAAGCATCCTCCACCCTGGCCTGGGGCTTCAGATACTTCCAAATCCTTTGGCGGGCATCCTACATGCAGGCCCAAGCACGTGGCGTTTAATGCACCTAGGCTGAGTTTCAGATTAGCTAGAGTCCTGTGGCCACTTGTGTCATGTGGTCCATGAACCCAAAGACTAGTGAAACATGGTGTAATTTTGAGGAAACTCAACTGTAAGGTCAGGTGAACCTGGGTCCAGTTTGGAGTAGTGCCTAGCAAGACAGGGGCTGGTTTGGCTAAAACTGGCCCATTATAATGGGAACTCAGGCCCCATTTGTGTCAGCTTATCAAAGGTCTGCAGTGGAATGACAGGGAGGGGAAGGTCTCTCCACAGCACAAGGCACAATATTTCTGCTCCTTTGCCATGTAGCCCCTTGACCACTGCACATTCCTCCTGTGCTGGCAGTTCCAGTCCCACTGCTGGCTCAGGTCCTGAGGGCAGCTCTTGTTTCCTTTTCCTTCTTATGCAGCAGCCCAGCGGTTTCTACTACAAGCTGCTGGGCAGGTTTTGTCTTGGCCTCTGGGCACTTTGCAGTGAAAAACATGGATATCTGAAGGAGCAGCCAGCAATACAGACACCAAGCACTGATGAACATTTAGCTCCACAGAGACCACCAGTGTGTGCTCCAAAAAGGCCAGAGACCACTGCCCCACCGCTGTGTCTAGTCTTACTGTAGTCCATTGATGAGGCCTCCAGGGCTTCCCTCAGAGACATTTTTTGCTGCAATGTTTTTCTTACTGCACCTGCAGTAACTTTAACTTCTAAATAGTTTAACAAAGGGGTGGCCAACCTGTGGCACACGTGCCGCAAGTGACACAGGCAGTTTATGCAGATCACGGAGAGGACAGGCAGCCCAGTGACAGATAAGGTGGGAAGAAGAAAGCAAAGCAGAAAATTGAACAGGGAGCACAGGGTAGGAGAAGAAAGCAGAGCAGCAGATTGGGCATTAAGGGGATTGATGTGTCACTTGAGGGCTAATTTGTGGCTTGGATAACCAGGGCCTGAGGCTTCCCCAGTTGCATTTTGTCTGAGAGAAGTTTGTACCCAGAAGGTCTGAACTCTTGCTCTGCTGTGGCTCCAAAACATGGAGTGATTCTGGGGTGCAGGGTAGTTGCTGTGTGGTGTTTGCACCACCCCCTTCAAACCAGTCCCTGGCTTGCAAGGCGCTGCTCCAAACTGGATCCAAGTTCACTTGACTCTGCAGTTGAGTCTGGTCAAAATTCAGCCCAGGTTCACTAGCCTTTGGGTTCTGACTTGTGACCACAGGACTCAAATTCATCTAAAACTCACCTGGGTCCTCTAAACACGGTGTGTGAGATCACTCCTATGGAGTTTCCTGGCTTCTGTGCATGTAAAATCTCAAGTGAAAAATGACACCCAGTGATCTGTGCAATCAGTGCATTGGGCACTTTCAGTTTTTTTTCATTAAAGATTCATTTGTTTTATTGATTTATACCCTGTACTGACACACAATATACAGGCACAGAGACAATAATTTGGGCCACCCTGTTAGGTGCACAGATGGACATAGGTGCCTAAGTGTAATTCCAGTCCACCTTTCTCTAGTCCCTGAGAAAGAGTTAATGTGAAAAGTGGGTGAGTCCTCCTCCTCTTCCTCCTCACTGCCTTTTGTAACTTAGACTTGATGCAAAGAAGATGGCATGTTACAAAAGTAGATAGGTAGACTTGAGCAGGGGGGAATAGGGCCACACTGGGGCATCTGACTAAGATCTGCCCCCATCTGACTAAGATGGACTAAGATCTGGCCTTCTATTTGCATCTTTCATCTCAATGACAGATGTTCAACGGAACAGATTCTACCCCAGCTTGTCAATCCCTGGCACCCAGGGAAGAGCCAAAGGAACTTGGTCTCTGCCCTGACAGGTAGATCAGGTTTGGGGTGAGCTGGAGGATGATAATTCCAAACCCAGGGAACATGAATATCCCAACTGCCAGGGAAATGTGTCTGGGAATGACTGGGAAAATTGCATAATATTATGTTCCTTTCAGTCAGCTCCTCTGGGTGAGGAGATCTAACTGGACCTTCAGAATGACAGCCTCAAGCAAGAATCAATTCAGTGGTGGGCATGACAGAGGCTTGGCTGAGAAAAGCTGCTTGCTGTGTTAGTCCGAATACCATGCAGAGGTGCTTGTGGGAGTGAATGCCTGAGACATTAGACCACAATAGATGGAAGAAAGTGCTTCTCCGCCCCAGGGAGATCCCCAGGGATTTAGGAGCAACTAGACTAGAGATTGGCAGCACTCTCCTGCTACCAGCCTGCTCAGCTAATGTCTGTGCCATCACTGCCACCTGCTACATCACAGATAAGCTAACTTGTCTGGAGTGGGTCTGTTCTCACCCCTGTCCTGCAAAACAGCCTCTGGGTCTGATGAAAGGAACATAAGAACTAGAGCAAAAGAGCTCAGCTAAACCTCTGGGTGTCACCTTCATTCTGGCAGCACCAAGCTTCCTACAACCTCATGCTCTCCCCTAGGGAGGCCTCACAGACCTGTGGAATAGGAGAGGTAAGAGAATGGGCAGGAGAATAGGCAGCCGGTGAGAGCAGGGTTGATAAAAAATTGCCCAACAAGAGAAACAATGGGGATGCTTTGCCTTGACATAGGGCTGCTCAGCGGGAGAGCTCAATCCCATGCTTGACAATGGAGCATCTGCAACCCCATTATACAGATGGGTAAAATAAGCTTCAGTGATTTGACCTGGGACACCAAGTGGTTCAGTACCAAAGGGCTAAGTGAAACCTGATGCCCCATCACTAACAGGGGCTTGATCCTGCATTTCCTATTTCCCAGTGCAGTGGTCTAATAACCAGGCCATGGGCCCTCTTGAAGCTGGCCTTTGGGTAGCCAAGAGTGGGAGATATCTGGGCCCAGGATGAGGCAAGCAGGGCACAGCAAGGGTGAGTCAATGCCTTGGAAGAGAGGAGGACTGGGGTCTAGCCACTGCACCAAAAGGCCTTACATTTAATAATAATCACTATATCAACAGTAGTAGAATAGATTCTGCCTCTTTAGGGGCAGAGGCTAACACCAAAAACTAGACTTTAAAGGCCACCTAGGCACATAGAATTGAATAGGATTTGGCCCTAACTACCTTACCTTAGTCTTAGCTCCTGGGAATAAGAACTTCCATACTGGGTAAGACCACATGACCTTCCAGCTCAATAGCCTGTTTCTAACATCAGCACATAAAACAGAAGCACTTATTAAAGCAGACCACCTATAAAAGGCAGCACAACCTGCCCCATCTGTTGCACCAAATTGACTCAACCCTTATTAGTCCAGCCCCACTTCACAACCAGCCACACACTGGTAAAAGGAGTGTTACACTTGAGCTCTGAGGAGCAGTTCCTAGGACACCCTGTGTGGAGATGAGCTATCTATAGCCACTGTGTGATACAGCAAAAATGTCCCTGGCACACATGCAGAAATGAATCGATATCCTGTATTGATTGGCCTGCCCTGCAAAACTGGATCGGGTACCAGGTGCATATTTCCCTGCAGCTCTGGAATTTGATCTGGCATCAGAAGGCAGACATGCCAGCTGCTGGTCCCAACACTGGGCATTTCATGTTAAGACAAAAAGATGGTTTCCAACCACCAGGCCTTAATTCCCAGTTGACTTGCCCCCTGTGTCTCCTTTTTGACCAGGGCCAATAAGGCAAAAAGTGCTACTGTTCTGATTTTGTGGCATTTTCCACCCACTTTACAAACTGCTTCAGCCTTCTGCTTGCAAAACCTTTCCTAAACATCAAGTGAGGTCCTAGCTGCCTTCATTAAAGGGTCATCTGAGGAGACCTGGGTGCACTCCCCTTCCTCCCAATCCTGGCAGACAGTTGGGACTCCTCCCTTTGCTGTGAGTATGCCTCTTCCCCATGGGCAGCCTTTCCCGTGGGACAGAGAGCTGCTTTTTAATGCCTGTAGGAGGTTAGCGCCGCAGCCAGTGAAGTCAGTGGAAGGTTTTGCACTACTTCCTCAGGTGCTAGATCAGGCAGAGCTGGAGGAGGAGGGGAGGCATTGAGGGAGCTGTAGAATGCCAGGAATCCAGGGGGACATTTTTTAACCCTGATGCCATGTGCGTCTTTCCTTCCCCTTCCTTGTCCCAGCTCCCTGTCTGTCTCACAGGTCCCCTCCCCACCAATCAGCCCTCTTTAACATGACAAAACACGGCTGATGGAGGATATTGTACTTCAGAGAAAGGAACTGATTGCTATAAAGGGGACTCCCCCGACAGCTCAGCCTCTGAGCAAGGTGTAGTGTCTAGGGAGCTAGCAAAGGAGCCACTTTTTCTTCATACCAACTTTTCCTTCATACCAACCCATGTTTGCTCACTTGGCTATGCCCTCTTACCAGTCGTACCCAAGTGGGGCTGGTGCAAGCTACAGGGAGTTTTACTGGAACTCTGCAGGGGAGGCAGAACGAGACCCGTGCCCAGGAGGTGCAGCAACACCAGCTGGTAATGTCCAGTTTCCAGAGCCAGAGGAGAAGAATGAGAACCCAGGTAAGGTATCAAGGTCAAGGGCCTGAGTGTCAGGACACCGGGGTTCTAATTCCAGATCTGTCATTGACTCATTGGGTGACCTTGGGCTTGGGCTACTGTTTCCCTCTCTCTGCCTCATCTATGAACCAGAGACAGTGCTACTCCTGACCCAGCAGGGCAAAGAGTGGCAATGGAGTCCAATGGTTACAGCAGGGGTTGGTGAAAGTCAGGACTCCTGGGTTCTTCCAGTTCTTGTCTCGGTTTCCTATGGGACCATGAGCAGCCACTTCTCTTCATGCTTCTCATACCTTTCTGTAAAATGAGGACGTGAGCCTGACTTATTCATGCTTGCAACATGCGCTGGGAGCCTCAGCTATAAAATAACAGACATGCAAAGCAGGATTGTCTGTGTCCCTGCAGCAGCATCTAAAAGCTTGCTGGAAGACATATCCTAGCAGGCTGATAGCCAAGGAGTGTAGGACTGTCCAAGGCCCACTTTTAGCAAGAGCTGTCAGATTTGTTTTTAGGGAGGGCCAGAACCCATTCATTATGTTTGGCGGGGCAGGACATACATCAGGACTCCATTTTGTCCTCAGCTCCCTTCAGTGTCCCTAGGACTGTCAGCACTGGCTCTGCTCAGAGGTCAAGGCCTTCAGGTAGGAGCTATGCTTCTAGTTACAAGTTTTATCATCTGCCAAGGAGACAGACAAAAAACCAGAACTCTCGGTTCTAAAATGATCTTTTATTAGACCAACAGGGAAATTGCAAGAAAACTGTCCTTTTCTGCAAGCTTTCGGGATCAAGGTCCCTTCATCAGGCTCTGGGATAAGTATAGCTAGTAAGTCACATTCAGTATTTCTCCTGTAGGAAGCCCACTCGCTGACAGAATCCATCACTGTTTCTTCCCTTTGTTTCTATCCCCCTCCCATCTGCTTCTGTTTCTCTCCCCGCCCCCTGCCTCCCATCTGTCCTTTCTCCCCCTCTGTCTTTCCTCCACATTTTCATCATTGCAACCAAACTCCAAACTCCCATCTCCATGGGCTTCAGTCCTGTCCCCTTTGTATCCCATCTACAAAAATGAATAGCAGTAAAAGAACTAAGGAAGATAGGTCTTCACTTAGTGGCATTGTTACATTCCAGAGTCAACACACCACTAAATTTAATCCTAGAAAGAGAGCACTGGAAGGGTCCTAAGGAGGTTATCTAGTCCACTCACCTGCTCCAGACAGAATTAGCTCTCTCTACACCAGGGGTTCGCAAACTGTGGTATGCGTATCCGTGGGGCTACACAAGACATCTCTGCGGGGGCCGAGTACAAGGGAGACGTGTAATGGCAGATTTAATTTCATTATAGTAATAACTGGCATTTAAGGGATTAAAATAAATATAAAACATAGGCTGGTAGGGGTACCTGGGCAGGTAGTAAATCTGGAAGGGGGTACACAATAAGAAAAAGTTTGAGAACCGCTGTTCTAAACAAGCCCAGACAAATATTTGTCTAACATGGTTTTAACAGCTTCCAGTGACAGACTGACAGCCTCCCTAGGTAATCTCTTCTGGTGCTGAACCATCTTAAGAGTTAGAAACGGTTTCCATTACAGAGGTGTAGGAGAGTTTACAACTCTTAGAGTCATAGCAAGAATCTGAGTGGTTGTTTCAAGCTGTCTGCATGCTGGATGGTGCATGGGATCCTGCTTTCATTTGGAAAGCTATATTGACTGCCAGGTGTAGGGCTTTGTTTTTTACTTTAAGCAGAAGGCTTAGCTTCTTTACAGTCTGCATGTTATGCAGGCCAGAAATCCATCAAGGAGACCATCATGCATTAGATGCCTCTGGAGGTCCAACACAGCAGAATTAAGATCCTAATTTTGAGCAGACCCCCTCTCATCCCTTCCCTCTCACAATCTTGGAACATTTAGACATGCAGGGCTTTGGACGAGGGACCAGAGATCAGGGGCTGAGGGCATTTGGGCCCATCTCTGTTGTATGGCAGGGTTTGTTTGGGCTGGTGTTCCTGTTTGCCGGTACCTGTCCTTTTCCTAAACTTTCTCTCATGGGGTGCTCTGCAGGGGATGCTTTTCTTCTGTTGGGTCTAGGAGGGGAGGGGGTGGTGGTGCAGATTTTACTCCAAACACTGAGATGGTTCAGACTCTAGGGAGTAAGAGGAGCTCTGGCTGAAGGAAATATGTCTGCAACATACTTTTCCCATTGAAGGCAGCCCTGAAGACACGGGCCCCACATAACCCCCTGGTCCACCCCACCCCACAGACATGGGCCCCTAGTTAGGCCTCTCTCCTTGATGGTTAGGATTCAGCTGTCTTCACCGTTGTGACCCAGGCTGTATCCCAGTCAGGGAAGGCTTGCCTTCTGCCTTCCTTCTTTCCATGGGAAATGCAACAGGAGGGGCCTGAGGGGACTGCCTGGATTTATGACTCCCCACTTACCAGGGGTGGTTTTTAGCTTTGGAAGGGCCTAAAAGCCTCCTCATCTCACTACAGATACTGCAGCATAGCTCTGTGCTCCTGTTCCCCCAGTAATGGGGAGAGCCTTTAGCCTCAGCTAGGGCTAAAAGCTGGCTTGCGTTCACCATTCCTCTTGTCTACAATCACCCATATCATCCAGCTTCCCCCCACCCTGCAACAGAGGCTCCATATCTGCAGGCATTGGTGCCAGTTGCCTGCCTGACACATCACTTTATGACTCAGTAGTATCACTGAAAGGGGGGGGGGGG